ATCCTGTATGACTATGTCCGACCTGCCTCCATATGTAAGCGCATAATTGCGATCCCTCTCAAATATCTGAGCGCTCTCTTCACCGCTTTCCAATGTTCTAATCCAAGATTATATTGGTCACAGCTTCACACTCATGAGAAGTGACAGGTCCGGCCTTGTACCTGACATGGTGAACATGAGTAACCCTATTGCACTACGATAAGGCACTCTCTCCATGGCCTTCCTCTCATCCTCTTCACTCGGGCACATTTGCAGGCTTAACTTGGTCTTTTTGTCTACAAGGGTAGATATGGGCTTACATTTGTCCATTTCGAACTTTTCCAATGCTCTCTTGCAATAGGTTGCTTGGGAAACTTGAATGGTCTGATTTTGTCTGTTTCTTGTTATCTTTATACCCAACACCTATGATGCTTCCCCTAAATCTTTATATCAAACTGTTGGGAAGGAAATCCTTAGTCTCTATTACTAAAGCAATCGAGCTACTGACAATCAACATATTACCCACATATAAAGAGATAAACACCACATCACTCCTACTTTCTTTGACATAAATATAGTAATCATCTTGGCTAGAGGTAAAACCTGCTTTAGATTACGTCTCTTAGAATTTTATGTACCGCTGTCGCGAAGCTTGCTTTTAAGGCCATAAAGGGATTTTTAAATTCTACAAACTATTCCTCTTTTTCTTTTTCTATGAAGCCCTCAAGTTGTCTCATGTAAATTTCCTCTTCAAGTTCCCAATTTAAAAATGTAGTTTTAACATCCATTTGGTGGAGCTCAAAGTCAAAATGGGCTGCTATGGCAATCAAGATGCTAATGGATGGAAATTTAGCAACTGAAGAAAATGTTTCATTATAATCTACCCCCCTTTTTTAGGTGAACCTTTTGGGAACAAGCTTAGCTGTGTATTTTTCAAAATTTCCCCTCAAAGTTCAATTTTTCTTGAACACCCACTTGCATCCTATAGGTTTTCAATCACGAGGTAGGGGCAGTAATTCCCAAACCTGGTTTTGAATGATGGAATTGTATTCTTCATTCATGGCATTTTCAAATTGGTTTTTCTCAAAACCAGATAAATGATCTTTATTGGTTGCAAGCTCATTATCAAGTTTACCCCCAATTCTCTTATAGTGTTCCCCCAGGAAGTTGAAAAATTCAAGTGGTCATATAATTCGATTGCTTCTCCTAAGGTTCTGCGGTTTGGGTTCACAAGTCTCAACCCTGTCACCAGCCATCTCGAAGAGATCGACTTTCTTGTGATTACATTTTGCTTCAAGAAACTCATCCTTGAAGAAGTGAGCATCCTTACTCTCTAGGACTGCCCCATTCTCTAGGTTGAAGAAACGATAGCCCTTACGATGTTTTAGGTATCCTATAAAGATGGATTTCACAGTTTTGGGATCAAATTTTGTTCGGTTTTGATATTAGATGAAAACATGGGTTCATCATCCTCACACCCTTAGATGATCAAGCGACAAAGCACAACTAGTAAATATTTTGTGTGGAGTAAGTGGGGCTTCCTTAATGGGAGTAGGATTGACGATATACAATCGCCGTCAATACTGCTTCTCCCTATAATTCTAGGGAGAGTTTTGCATGCCCATCATGCTCTGCACCATATCTACCAAGGTCCAATGCCGTCTCTCAGTTACACCATTTTGTTGTGGTGTATAGGGCATGGTAAATGAATTATTCAATGCTTCATACATATCTCTTTAACGAGTTGTGATTACTCGCCACCCCTATCGGTTCTTAGGATTTTGCCCTTCTTGTCACTTTGGTTTTCTACCTCGGTCTTGTACTACTTAAATTGGTCTAGGGCTTTGAACTTGGCATGTAGTAAATAAACATGGTCATATCGCGAGTGGTCATCTATGAAAGCGATGAAATATTCCTTGTATCCTTTTGTCGCCACATTCATGGGACCACAAATATCATTGTGGATGAGTTCTAAAATGTCAGAGGCTCTTTGAGCTTTCGTAAAAGGTTTCTTTGGTAATTTTCCTTGCACATATGATTCGCATACTTTGAGTAAGTCACCCTTATAATTTCCTAGAAAACCATCCCTCTTATGGTTTACGTGCCCTAATCTCATGTGCTACGAGTAAGCATCATTCTCACATTCAGAGGATGAGACATAAGCAACTAGATTTTTTATTTCAATTTCAAAGCGACCATCATTTAGCATGTTGGTCATAACAACTTCCCCATGAGTTTTAACTATCACCTTATCACTAGCAAAAATGGTGACATACCCCCTTAGCCAATTTTGGAACCAATACCAAACACTTCATCATCTCAAAAGCATAAATTCTTTGCTTTAGGACCATTGTTCCCCCACTTTTCAGATTTATAACATAGCCCCCAAAGCTCAAAATCTCAGCCCTTTGATTTCCACCCATGTATATGAATTGCTCGTTGGGGTTCACAGGTTGGAAATTGCAGTATCCATCCATGAAGTTTGACACATGGGTTGTAGCACCCGAGTTAAAATACCAAGTAGTACCATTTGGATCAGCTAGCATAGATTCAAACACCATACAAACGTGTTCCCTATTCCCCCTGACATTATTTTTTTCTCTCTAAAGAATCTAACTATGTGTCCCACTTTACTACATTTAAAGCACTCTCTTTTTTTGGGCTCTCTATTTTCCGGTTCCCTCTCTCCTCTTTTGTTATTCTTATTTTTCTTTTTGATATAATTGAAATTTCCCTTGTCCATACCCTTTTTCTTAAAACTATATGTGTTTGTCTTAAAGCAAGCCACATGCACCACATCACGGGGTGTGGGTACATCACGCACATTTTTTCTCTCTTCCTCAGCCTCAAGAAGAATCGCAAACTTCTCCAACTTGGGAGCAATCTCTCAAGCAATGAGAAATGATACAAATACCTCCTAAGAAGTAAGGCGAGTGTTCAAAAGATGACAAACTTGTATGGGCTCGGTGCTTCATGTCAATGGCTTCGAGCTCATGTATTAGGGCCTGAAAAGTCACGTGCTTGGCAATCTTGGCCCCTTCCACCAGTTTCAAATTGTTATACTTCTTCATTGCAAGGGTGCTTAACTAGAGAAGGATTAACAAATTCCTTCTCTAGACTCTCATGATGGCTTTCGCAGTCTTCAAGTTCTTGTATTCTAATGCACAAGAATCATGCATCGAAACAAGTAGTATAGGCTTAGCAAGCATATTCTTCTGCTCCCACTATGCATAATCCTCTCTAGTAGATTGAAAGCCATTCCCTCAAGGAATTGGTGGAGAGTTATGGGTACATATCGTGGGGATTTTTCTCATAGAGGATGTATCACACTTTACGCTTCCAAGACATGTAATTGCTCCCATCAAACTTTTCGATTTCAAGAGTTTGGTCATGAAACTCTTTGCGGTCATGTCTCTTGGATCAACTTACAGCAAAATAATGAAAAAAAAAAAAATGACAGTGAGAAGTCCTAGCTTTGATACCAATTGAAGTAGGACTTTGTGACCCGGCAAGTCAATACCGATTAAAATTTTTCTATCTTTTCTTACATATTACCACCCGGATCACTTACAAGTGTCCAAATACAATATATGAATCAAATAAAACCATAAGAATGCCAAGGACTCTCACCTGCATGTCATTAAAATCAAATTATATTCATAACATGAATCTAAAAGTTACATAAAGCTTGCAATTAAGTCAAGAGAATATGAAAAAGAAAAATACCGCATACCTTACCTCAGTTTACCCCAAGGACTTTGCACACCCCACACCAGGTCTCCTCCACCAATGGCGTACGAGATCTAGGTCCATAAAGACAAGTCCAGGTCCCATGCTAGCAATGTACTCCTTGGGTCCTTCCAACACAATCTAGTGTTGCAAGGAGTCATATCAGTAGTACATGTACACAATACACACCCTTATCAAAAGGGCCACTTCCCGAAGGAGTCATATCAGTAGCACATGTACACAGTACACACCCTTATCACAAGGGCCACTTCCCAATAGTTATCTATTGTACATGCCTTATGATAGTAATGATGAGGATTTAGGCCCTTGTCTTCTCCTGCCATTCATCCCACACAAGGGTCGCATCTAGTCCCATGGCCAACTGCCTTGAGCACAACTCTGACCGTCTCAAAGGTTAAACCCACATCGAAACACTTATTGGTTGTGTTAGACATCACCCTGAGACATAGCCAATCAAATCTCAGGTGAGTCTCGACATTGAAAATGCCTTGCAGCCAAATGCGGACCATACTCCCACTGGAACTAACATTTCACTATAATAATTTTAGTACATGCTCTCATAATGCCTTTAAATGGTCACATAACCCCAACAACTATTACGTTAGGGTTTCCTCATATGCTCCTCTCATCCTTACTTATAATAAAAACTAATGAAAAGTACAAGAATGTCTTGAAGTACGGGGAAAAGCCAAGAATGCCCTGTAGGCACATAAACAAGAGAAATAGTAAAAGAACTAAACTGAAATATGCTGTTAACACCTAATTTCCTATTGAAACTTAAATCTTGGCTGATTGCACCGGACATTTGTCATGTCGTTCCATCCTTCAACTGTAGGAAGTGTATACTAACAAGTGTACACAATGCATATTTGCAAACTAATTTTCACTTACAATAGAAACTAGTGCACAGGTTTGAAAAGGAAATCAAGAATTTGTTTAAACCAGATTGTATAACTTTCCAAAACCCTAAACAATGTATGGAGCTAGTTCACTGACTAAAACCCCACCTACCCATACCCAAATCATATCAATGACCATTTGTGTGTACCCTGAATTCCTCCATACCTTGATTATTAATTCCGTTGTCAGTAAGATATATTTATGTTCACCAAAATTTATTGATAAAACTTTCTTGAGTCCTTTTTCAAAGATCATGCATGATATCTAGATATCATATGGGCATAGATTGTGCATAGAATTATATATAAAGACAGGACAGTATTGCATAGGAAAAGAAAAGATATATAAAAAAGTGAAGAAAGAGAACAAACATTGGTGTTGCTCAGTTCCATATTGTAGAAATCCATGGTCTTTGATCTAAATAAAGGGCCCGCATGCCATGTTCCTCTATTAAGCTTCAAACATTTTGGACCATCTACCAGGAAAATGCGAACATCTTCAAGAAGAGGAGGGAGATAATAGTGTCCAGATTTTGCTTTTCGAAGTTTCATTCCCAAGTTATCAATCTGACAATGTGCACTTCCAGAGTCATCGTTGACTTCAGATCTATCGACTAGAGAAGCCTTTGCAACACCAAGGTACCACTCTTGACCACCAATAGAACCAAGGCATTGCGTAACACTTGCATGATGAGTTATCTGAGAGAACCTAAATGGTCGATCTTCTACATGCATGATATAAAACCTGTAAATAACAAACGATCACAATGGTAAACTATGCAGCATTGAGTTTGCAAGTAAAGAAAAACAATAATGAACACTGTAACTTTGTAAACATATGAAAGGCTAGATATTACATAACAAATTCCTAGTTTGGAGAGTTAAAGGGAAATTTATGTTATTGTGCTCCAGTATTATTCAAGAAAAGAAAAACAGATCAAGATTAACTTTACTTCAATTGGGCACAGGAGGTAGAAGACTTTGGAATCAGCCTCTAAGCTTAATTGAAAAGGCCCTCGAATGTCTTCAACCTGTTTCAGGTCTCTTCAGCAAAGATAAACAACTTTGACCCCTTTTCCTACAGCAAAGCGTAATGCTAGTTTTTATGTTTTTCACTTCTCTGTCCTTCTCAACCATTTTTTTTAATTAATTGACTAGTTTCTACCAATTCCTTTAGCATCATTAGAGACAATAATCTCTATTAAGCTAAGTCACCCAACAACTTGGTAGGGGTGATCGAGGCAAAAAAGTGCAACAGTGATATTCTCCTATTGAGACATTTGAACTTTCATGTTGAAAAAATATTGTCACTATAATAACTGAATAGAAATTAAAGGGATTCTCTTATTTCAAAACCTTGTTTTGTGATCTTGAGTGGAGACAACAGTTGGCAAGGGTTAATTAACCATGGTTACTCCATTTACTCTAATCTGGTAACTATAAGCCAAACAGTTTTCAAATAAGAGCAGTTAAAACTGTGTTACAGCTTTTCTGTAATAATTTTGAATTAAGGATAGCCACAATTTAAAAGTACACTTATCCAAGAGAAGTTTCTTAATGGAATTAATAGAAAATCGATTAAACGTACATACTCTGCATTAAGAGGAATTGCTAGGTTTCTAGGTTGTGGATCAAAGACACTATAAATTTGATACAAGGAATGTGATTATATCAGCACATGGATGTAACAAAACTTAGTCATTTAAATAGTTGAAGCAGCAAAATATAGAAAAAAATCAATGAAAGAAGAAAGAAAGAAAACAAATCAATAACATATCCAGAAAGCAAAACTATCTTTTGATACATAACAAGATAAGCACGATATAAATGACAAAATCCATGGCTTTTTTCAAAGAAATTGCACTAAAAACAATCCTGCATGTTTTTTCAAGCCATGAAGAGAACAATGCCACAACTTGCAGGAACTGAATGAAACTGATGCAGATTGACAAACACTCCCCTTTTCTTCCCAGAACTAATCGAAGTCAATACAAATAAAAGAAAAGGCTCACTTTGTTCATCATTTTCCCCTGACTGATTGAAATCAATACCGAATCACTTATTCTTTTTTGTCTCCACAAAATTTGAATCAGCAACAATATTTAAGGTCAATTATCAATGTCATGAACTTCCTTTCAAAACAACCCAAAAAACGCAAAAGAAAAACAAGACATATTAATGAGCCAATGGCTCCCGAGACCCCAATTAATGCTCATTCTTATGAACCTCCCTCCTGAGAGAGAGAGGGAGCTTTGATTTGAACTACCTGGGGATACCACGGTGAAGCTCAAGCTGTGCATCATGGGGGCCGAATTCCTGGCCATCAGGAGAAGGCTCCATCACTTGCCCAAATTCCTGAAAGCTGATTTCTGTGGCTTCAATGGCCTTCAACTTAATCATTCTTGGCCACAACCTCTTCTTTACTTCCACTGGACCAATCTACAAATTAAAAAACCATTTCCATCAACAAAAAACAAAGCTTTATTATTCAACCAAATAAATAACAAACTCCAAAAGGAAAACACAAAGAAGCCTATTATTAATCAGACTAGCCTTGCCTTGGCAGAAGATAAGCAACAAGTGGTGCTCAGAGAGCCTGTTACGCAACCAGGGACTCCGAGGAGATGCATTTCTTATTCAGATCATACCTTTGTGATCCCTATAATGTAAAGTTGATATAAGCTGGGATGAGTTCTTAAAAGTTGAAATTAAGCGTGTTGAAATTAAGCTTGGTCATCTTTCTTGTTCCGTTTCTTTCAAGAAAAATGATGCTGGACAGGATATTCGTTATTTCGGTTATCATGAAACCTGCACGCCCTAGATTTCAAATATTGACCATTGTCTTGTTTAGGTTTGATAAAAAAAAGGCTGATTTGGATAAGATTTGCCTGAACCATATTAGAAATGGGTAGAACCGGTCCAATTCCCACCATATATTGGGAGTCGATTGATTCTAAATAAAACCGTCTGATTTCCACGATTCTATCGGGAAATTAAGTCCCACATTTTTTAAATTCTCATTTGAAATTATCAAAAACATTTCATATTTCTATTTTTCAAGTTCTTTTATTTTTTATTGGTTGGCTCTAACCCCCATTCATGCATATATCTCCTATCCTCAAACGTGCACTCTGGTTTCGAAGGGAGTCCAGGGCCAATCTCGATCATGACCGGCAAAGTCGCCTTGGCTAAAGCGATTCCCCGAGGTCTCTCCCCATTACAATCTGGCCAACAGGGATGAATTTTATCCAGTTGGGTAAACAGCTTAAAGCACAAAGGAAGAGGGGCACCATCTTCTATAATTTGCTTATTGGGCTTAGAATCGGTATCGGGGCCGATGGGAGTGAGATTCAAATCGACCATTATCTAAAAGTAACACCACAAACTACTCTTAACAAACAAACAAACAAAAAAAAAAAAAAAGAAAAAAAAAGAGGTGGAAAAGGAGGAGGTGGGACTATGTTAAAATAAATAAATTGACATGTGTAAAGGTAGTTTTGGAAGTACAATTACCTGGGATATCGGGGGAGTCCTCAGAATCTCTGACAGCCACAATTTATGTACTCAGTGGCATATCAGGCATATATCTTTGTTTCTTATCAATGGATGTGCAATCAGCTATCCAAGCCATTGCAAATCTATTGTGGTTTTGGTAGGATGAAAGCCCTTAAAAGAGAGGCAATTCAACATGCAAACATGGCACCTAGACCATCATAAGAACGTTCCCATCAATAATAAAGGGAAGGGTAAGCGAGCTCCAAGGGCCTCTCTCCAAAAGAGAAAAATATGAAAACCTCTTGTTGAGGCAGTAATTCTTCCCCCTATGCCTTTGGTTCCCACTCTGTACAACTTCATCCCTCGACAAGTCCTTTTGTTCAAAGATAACCGTTTTAAAAATATAGAAGCAAATCAAGGGACCACCCATGAGGAGGTATCCACTCATACGATTCTTCGTACATCCGATATGGGTGACGACGGTAAAAGCACCTCAGAAATGTCCAACAAGGGTGTTGACTCTAAAAGCACCTTTCAACTGTCCAACAAGTGTGAGGACTCTAAAAGCACCCCTCAACAGTCTATGTAGGGTAAATACCTTAAAGATCCCCTGCACACATTCAACAAGGGTTAAGACGTTAAAAGATCCTCAATTATGTCCAATCAGAGAGAAGATGTTAAAAACCTCTTTAAGTCTAGTACAGATGAGAACCCCAAAAGCTACATGGTTAGGTCCAATCTAAGTGATGACCCTAAAAGCTCTCCCTGTTTTTCTATCCCTAAATCTTCAAACCCTTCTTTTCTTACCACATCTCTCTCAGAATCTTCAAACCCTTCTTTTCTTACCACATCTCTCTCAGAATCTTCAAACCCTTCTTTTCTTACCACATCTCTCTCAGAACTCACGCTTGAATGCCCAGATTTTGAGGCTCTTGATGAGGAGCTCAAACGATGCAATACTAGCAAGCCGCACCGTAAATAGTCGAGAAAGATGATGGCTCAAAGGGGCGGTTTCCTAAGTGTTGGTAATGCCTTAGCCTTCGCCACCAAGAAGGAGAAACCCCCTCCCACTATTGAGGAGCTAATCGAGCACTTCCAAAGCCCGAACACTAAGAAATCTTGATAGCCCCCCGAACTAGAACAACAATGGAGAGATATAAGGGGAGATGGCTCCCCTTCTCATGAGGCATGCCACATGGTGTGGGTCACCAATGGGACAACAAATGAAGGCCAAATTGACTTGAGATAGGTAAGAAAACTCCAGCCTACAAAAAAACCAAAGCAGTCAAGGCTCTTGAAATACCCAAGTCAACCACTAGTCCCATACCCAAATCCTCCATCTACCCGTAAACCAACACCTCTCCTCAAATATCCAGGTTCACCACTTGTGCCCTACCCAAATCCATCACCCACCTTCCTCAAAAATCCTGAACCTCCTCGACCCACTTTATGTCCCGTCCTACCTATGCATCCCCTGGCTGCGCAGTCTTGCCAGCCACTTCCCACTACACCTATGACTACAACCAATCCTCCCGTACTCAGACCGACTTGGTCACCTCTTGTGCTTTAAAGACTAGTGGTGAACCTAGGAGCACACGACTCAGAGGATGACAAGGTCAAGTATGATGTGATTGGGCATTTAAGGAGACTTCCGGCCTTGTTGAGCATTTATGATGCCCTCATACTATCAAATGACTTCCATATGGCCCTAATCCAAGTTCTTTCCTGGTTTGAAGTATTTGACACCGAGATCAAGCGAGTTGAAGTGGATCCCACAATTCTCAATAACTTCAACTTGACTCCCAATTTAGAAGCAGATGTTGCCCGAAGAGCTGCTACGGTCAAAGAAGCTGACCAAAAGGTCTTGCAATTCCCAATCCCTCTAAGGGAGGAGGATGATGCTTACCTTTCCCCACGGATCACTTATACGCACGACCATCAAAGGGACTTACACATCTTGTTCCCTTTAGTGGAGGCGGGTGTTGCTCACCAAGTTGCGGTGGCCAATTCCCTAGTTTCGGCTAAAGTCTTCACCGACATTCTTGCTCCTTAGCCTGCACCCTAGCCCAAAAGTGTAAAGCAAACTGTCATTTCTGATATGATGAAGCACATTAAAAAGCTTATGAATCAAGCAAAGGTCTTAAGAAAAAGAAAGGTTGAGGTAGAAGGAACTCCACCTCCACTTATTTCCTTTATACCAGGATTCATCCCAGAATCCAAAGGTCTAGTGAACTTGAGTCTTCTCAAAGCTCAGCTGGTGCAATACCAGCGGTCTTGCCAAGGTGGGATCTCAATAGTCCCTAAGCCCATCAAATTATGAAAAAAGTAGACTATAAACCAGCGGCTCATCAAGGATTACATGATGACAAAGGAATGATGGCACCTTTTATGGTCATTGAATCCGTCGTCCTCCAGCATACAAGCAAACAATGCCTTGGTTATATGGGGCCTTTGTACTATTGCTCCCAGCCCCCTGCACCCATAAAACAGCTCATGTGATAGTGTCCCAAGATCTACGACCTGCACCTTACAAACTCCCACTTCTTAAGATAGATACGTCCCAAGCCGCCCAATAGGTGGAAACATTCCTCAATTCTCAAGCCGTCAAGACTCTGAAAATAAGGGAAGCAATGGAAACATTGTCAATCTTTGACCAAAAGATGGAAATACTTGAGGTGAGCAAAGAACCTTCTGCCCCCTACCCTTTGATGAGATGGAGATAGAAGAAGCACTCAAAGTGTTGAAAGATGGTGGACAAGCCACAACTGATGACTTAAAAGAGATAAACCTGGGTGATGAAACTGACCCAAGGCCAAACTTCATCTCAGCTGTTATGCCTCCTGAAGAAAAAGAAGCATATGCCACTTTCCTATGAGAAAATCAGGATGTTTTTGCATGACACTACAATGAGATGCCCGGTCTTGACCCTCAAGTTGTGGTGCATTGGCTAGGTATTGATCCCTCTTTCAAGCTTGTAAAATAGAAATCAAGATGGTTTCAAGCTGACTTAGGGATTCAAATTGATGTCGAGGTCAGCAAGCTCAAAGCGGCCGCCTTCTTTAAAGAAGTCAAATACCCAAAGTGGTTGGCTAATGTTGTGTCAATAAAGAAGAAGAATGGGCAAATTTGGGTCAGCATTGACTTTTAGGACTTGAATGTGGCATATCTGAAAGACAACTTTCCTCTACCCTTCATCGAGATGTTTATTGATTCGACGGCCAATTTCCAAGCCTTCTCCTTTACAAATGGTTATTCAGGGTATAACCAAATAAGGATGCACCCGAAGATGAAGAAGCTACTACTTTCTTGACTCCCAAAGGAGTTTACTGCTACATGGTGATGTCGTTCAGATTAAAAAATGAAGGAGCCACCTACCAACATGTCATGACCACCGTCTTCAAAGACATGTTGCATAAAGAGGTGGAATGCTATGTAAATGACCTCGTGGTAAAATCAAGTGAAAGGAGCACACACATTCAAAACCTCGAATAGGTCTTTGAGCAACTTTGCCTCCATCAACTCATGATGAACCCCCTAAAGTGTGCATTTGGCGTGCGGTCAAGGAAGTTCTTGAGATTTATTGTCAGGTATTGGGGCTTGGAGATCGAACCTGTAAAAATCAAAGCCATTCAAGAGATGCCATCACCAAGGAATCTTCGAGAGCTCAGATCTCTCCAAGGCAAGGTTGCCTATATTCAAAGGTTCATCTCCAATCTCTCAGATCTGTGTAAACCCTTTACCCACCTGCTCAAGAAAGACATGTCATTCGAGTGGGATGAAGCATGTGAAATGGCCTTTGAAGATATCAAGACCTATATGATAAACCCTCATGTGCTCTCGGCCCCCAATCATGGGAAACCCCTCATTCTATATGTGATTGCTATAGAATGAGTCACTTGGCGCCCTGCTCACGCAAAACAATGAAGGTGGAAAATGGACAACCTTATATTAGCTCAATCAAAGGATGCAAGGGGTCGAGGACAATTATTGGTTAGATGCCTCGATCTCGCCCTCCGGGTTGGAATGACTTGACGGCACATGTCTCGATTTCGAGGAAAACCCAAGACTTGAGATCGCTCTCTTGGGAACTTTGTTAATGAACAAGGGCAGGTAAACCAATCGATGAGAGAGGAATTTGGTGTGAGGCGAAAAACACCTCACCTGGTCCGAGACTTACTCGGTCGGACTGGCTCACGTGGGCGCCCTCTTAGATCATTAAGAAAGCCCCCCAATCCTACAACTGGTTCGAAATCGCCTCCCTTGACCCGTACTCTCTTGTTTCCGCAATCACCCACACATGGTTAATTTTACAAGACAACTGCGCCAAGGGACCCCACCTTGTCTTTGAGCGAATGTACACAGGTGTACACATCCAAAAGACGAAGGGAAGAATAAGAGGATAGAGATTGGGATGAGGAAAAGGAAAAAAAAGAGAGAGAATAGAAGAAAGAGGAGAGGAT